ATTATTATGTTTGAAAAACATTTACTATACATATCGTAAATATGTGATTACTATAATATATACCAATTTACAAGTGAAAACAAAATGTTTATATAACTATAAACGAAAACAAACACCCGCGCGGTTGCGCGGGTCAAAATCTAGTCTTATATATTAAAACAGAAGTCATGACTTGACTTCATGTGTGATTTTTTAAAAATAGACTATTATTAGAAAGTCATGTTACATTAACTCTCTAATAATCTTATCATTAATATATCATATGAAATCATATTTATAATAAAAAAAAGATACGCTTAACAATTGGTTTTGGTAAATTACTCCACACCTTCCAATTTAGTCACGCAAAATATGTCAATAGATATAAATTTAGGAATCTTCTATTATTTATAAGGAAATATGTCAATAATAGTTAAATATATCCACAATATATTAACAAAATCACAGATTCATAGTATGGAATATTTATATATCTTAACAAAATTTACATGTTATATATACTAGATAAATTTATTTCTATGTAAATTTTTAAAATTATATTGTTTAAAAAAAACTGTTTAATAAATTCATTTTTAATAAATTTTTTTATAATATTAATTTATGAAGCTATAAGTTTAGTTTTTAGCAAAAACTTCTTCGAAGTTTATATTATCTTTTCAAATTAAAGTATACTAATATTTAATCAAGCTCTATTTATACTACTTTATCTAAAAATAAAATACTAAGCTAACAAACAATAAAATATAGAAAAGGAAACAAACACATGTTTGAAAAACATGTATAATATAGAAAATTTGAAATAATCTATTTGATTAAAACAAGTATTATATAATATTATTATGTTTGAAAAATATATACTACATATTGTAAATATATGATTACTATAATATATATCAATTTACAAGTGAAAACAAAATGTTTATATAACTAACTATAAACGAAAACAAACACCCGCGCGGCTGCGCGGGTCATAATCTAGTTTAATTTAATTTTCACTCGATAAACACGTCTAACATAATGGTAATGTACAAGTACGATTCTGATTTGTGAGAAAGTATGTATTCATTTACAAAGTTTGCCTTTCTTAGCAAACTAAATATTGGGTTTTCCAAAAACATTTTACTTCAAACAGGTCATCTTGTGGCAAAAAATTACCAAGTATTAACTATTTTCAAACTAAGTAAAAGGTGGCAAAAATTACCAAGTATTAACTATTTTTAAACTAAGTATTAACATATATTTATAGATACAAATGTTTATCATATGTATAGGCCTCTTTTGTATATATAATTTTGGTATATAGTAGATAAGAGGATATCACTTCAATGGTCCAGTACGTATACTTGATTAATGGTGGTGAGTGTACCATTTCAAGAATAAAAGTGCACGTCCCTCTTAATGTTCTTCTTTTGGGTATCGGGGTGTAGTGGCAGTATTTGATCAATGGGAGTACCTTTGGTCACACTACGACTAAGGCTGTTAATGTGTTTCAGATAATCCCCTATGTTCAAATGTTTCACAAGAAAAGAGTAGCCTTTAGTCCAATCAGCGAAATTTTAGTCTTTACTTACTTCTGGGATAGCAGATCTGAGAAAAACATCCAGAACTTGGACGGTTTCGTATGGTGTATGGACGCCAGCTTTACAGCAACTTTGAATTGCATTTCCCTCATACCAAAAGAATAAATTCACAGTACCAGAAACTGTAAAAGGAGTGCATATCCCACTATTGGAAAAACCCATCTACAAAGAGATTAATATGAACTACATAGAAGAAGAACCATCAACTTTTTGTCATTAATTCAAATCCACAACAAACTCTTTAGTCTCGACGGGTAGACTCTTCTTGCCATCATAGGCATTAACCTTCTTTGCCATTGGAACGGTGGAATATCATTGTTTTTTTCTTTGAAATTGTTGAAAGTGATGTTTTGTTGATTTTTTTTTCTATGTGTTTGGAGTAAGAAGATGAAATGTAAAAACAAAATGTTCTGATTGGTGTTTTATGTTTTTACATTATTTGACGTGGCATCGTTTTAGTGCTCTAAAAAGTTGATGTATGATATTTTCAGGAGATACACTTATGTTATTATAGTGTTGATTTAGGTTACTTTCGATATAAAAGACTCGCCTAACATTTTTATTTGAAATACAATAGAAAACTCAGTATAAAAGAAATAATTTCTTATATAAAAATATATGAAAGTTCATTTTAAGACTTGGTAAATCCACTTGACAAAAAAAAAAGGACTTGGTAAATCCATATAGATTTGGAAATGTATATCAGAATCAAAGAATTCTATATTAATAGACTTTGAAAATATTCTAAAATACACATTCCATTAATAAACCATACAATTCTAGCAATCTAAACTTTGGTCCAGATCGAGGGTGACGGCTGTCATATCTTCCTCCAAATCATCCTCTAGCCCCAACATATCGAACAACATGGTCAAACTGGTGTCGTCTCCACTAGCTGCAACCGGTAGCTCGTGTCGACAAAGAGGGCACGATGTATGACTAGCGAGCCATGGAACAATGCAATCATTATGGTATAAATGGTCGCAAGGCAATCTCCGAGCAGATTCTCCAATCACGAAATCTTCTCTGCATATGGCGCATGGTAACGTAGAGTCGTCTGAGGAAGAGCAACGCAACGTTGAAGATGAGATCTCAATGGTCGGAATCGGCTCCACGTTGTCTTCGCTTTCATGATCATCATCAGGACCAACTTCAAAAGGGGTTGAAGAAGAAAATGTAGAGACTACATTGCATAGGGGACAGTATGGAGAAGAAGCAGTAGAAGAAGAGAGCACTGTAATGATCATGTCACATTCATTACAAGTGTAGTTCCGCCGCTCCAATTGGTTGCCGCCTCTGTCGCTAGTATTGGACATCGAAGAAGTGGTGACAGTGAGAGTTTTTAATTATTTTTTTTGTGTAATGTCTTTTCTCTTCAGATTCCTGTAATCTATGGCTATTAAATACTGACAGTTTCAGAACCTTCGTAGTTTATGATATAGTTTGGGTATATTTAAGTTTTCGCATTTCCTTTTTTGGAGATTCTTAAAATGTTAGTGATTATCCATCATATGCCACCTCAGGAAACACTTGTCTAAAATGGAAAGGAATACTTATAGTTTTTAGTGCACCTATAACGTCGTCGTAATTTCTCTTGTGACAAGTTTAACTTGTCCTTTTCTAACTTTTAGGAATTTTTTAATTTTCTTTTTATCAAATTCCAACTTTTAGGATTAGATCGTAAAGAAATGTAAGAGAAAGAACTACCAATAAATTATTAATCATTTTATTCTAACTATTCTGTATTTTGGATGCACGTGTTATATATAAAAAAATCTATATAAATATATAGTCCCATTAAAATTACAAAACAAAAATTATAATTTATATATATATATATGATTTATATAAGTACAAATAAAACTTTGTATTATTTGTATTACATTTACAACAAATTCATCACTATTTTTTCTTAATACTTCAATATATACTGATAACATTTACTAAAATTCTATCTAAATTATATTTAAATTATATGAAATATAATTTGTGCACGTCGAATAATATAATAAAATGATATAAAAGTCAAATTTCTTAAATGTCATTAATATAAGTATATGAAAAAATAACCATTTTCTTATTTTTATAAAAATATATATTCTAAAAATAAGACAATCTAAGAAATATTTTTTTTTTGTAAATTAATAACTCTATGAATTTATTTATACTCCCTCCATTTCAGTTTATATGTTGTTGTAAAGAAAAAAATTTGTTATAAAATAAGGGTATTTTTATAATTTTGATGTATAATTTATTAATTTTAGATATTTTCTATTTTTTATTGGTTGAAATATGATTAAATGTATAGGATAATTGTATTTTTATTTTGAAAATAAATAAAATTAAATATTTTTTTTTAATTTGTATGAAAAACGTAAAACTAACAACTAAAATAAAACGAGGGAAACTTGAAAGAATATATTTAGTCTATAAAAAGATTATAAAGTTTGGATTTGCTACTGGTTTCAGTGTAGTTGGATGTCGGTTTGGCCGAGTGGTTAAGGCGTGTGCCTACTTCGTATCTGAGGCTTTCCCCGCGAGAGTTGGTATCTCTCTGGCGACGAAATGTTTTCCCAAGTTATTCATTCTTCTTCTATTTTTTTTTTCATATAAAAGTTCAATAATTCTCACGTTTCACAAGTTCAAAGTTTTCAAACTTTTTATTATTCATATTCGCTCACATCACAACACTAGAAAAAGCAACAACGAAAACGAAGAACACTAAAAAAAAAAGATCCCTTAGATCATCAAATCCAACCATCATTTCATCACGAAGCCTTCTTCTCGAGCTTCGAAGCTTCCAGATCCGCAGCCTTCTTCAACAAATTATTCTCATCATCATCCAACGCCATCGTGATCGGACACGATCCGAGCCCATCGGCGATCGCCAACACGATCTTCTTCATCTCCGATCTAAACTCCTCCCGATCCACTGACCCGCTCTGATCCGTATCGAACTTCTCGAAGATCGATTCGTACAGACTCGTCAGCTCATCCTGAGGAGTCACCACGTCGACGCCGAAGTGCGATTCCAACAGCCTCATCGATTCGAAGGCCTTTCGTAGCTCGGATCGCGATAAAACGCCGTCGTTGTTGAGATCTAGAGCAGCGAACCTCTCGTCTATGGTCTTCTTGAATTGCTCCTCGTCCTCCACGAAGGATCGAACGGTTGATCCGTCGATCACTACCACTCCCATTTTCTCTGGTTTTGGATTTTTCGGTTTGTTATCGCGAGGATATTTAATAGGGAGATGAATTAAATAACAGTGGCGTAGAGCTGATGACTCGGTGAGGATAAGAATTTGTAATCTTAATGGGCCTATAGAAACAATCTCTTTTGGGTCTTAATGGGCTTATCTCATGTATTGTGAGCCATTAAGAGACTTGCAAACCTCTCTCATAACGTAAAGGCGAATAGTATGCGTACAGAGCAGTGAAATTATTGCTTGTTTTGATTACAAATGATACAATGATACGTAACAAGTAGTGTTTTTTTTATCTCGTTCTGAATTCATTTAAGAAAATTAGAGTCATATAGTTTATCATACAAAGAGCCAAAGACAAACCCATAACCCACAATCGATTATGAACGCATACCACAACGAAATAATGCTATAACGTTAAGCTCAAACACCATCGCCGGAGACCATATCAGAGGATCCGGCTTTCATTAACAAAGAACTCAAAAAGCCATTCAGAAAAGATTGTTTCTTCATAATTATTTTATATTTAATTGTTTATACTTTACACTCTAAAAAATTATGATATGTGTTAGTTTAATTTGAATAGGATTCTTTCAGGTAGGTTCCGGAACAAAGTGCCAATAGTCTTGGTTTTATTATAACTCAACCAAACAAAAACAAAAGTGGTACATAACGTTTATTTTTCATTAAAAGATACAAACAATGTGAATTCAACCATAAAAAACAACTAGATTTTGACCCGCGCTTGAAAGCGCGGATATTTTTTATGATTAAAAATTTATATAATTATGTTTCGTCTTTATTTAAATTATGTCTTGATATAAATCAGTAATCCAAAATTTTTGGTGATGATTGTTTTGGATTAGTTTTTAATTTCATATTTTAATTTTAGATTTGGTTTTAGATTTTGGTTTTTGGTTTTTAGTTTTTAAGTTTCTATTTTTGATTCTCAGCTTTTGGTTTGTGTTTTTAATTTTTGGATCCGCCGAGTTAGTTTGAACTGATATTACCAATAAACAAATCCCAAATAATCGAACATATAATTTAAAACTGAAAAGATGAAAAATAAATATTTTTTAAAAAATTGTAATAGTTTATTTTGTAAATAAACATAACCAAAAATATAACTTGCGTTTTCAACTTTTGGTTTTGGCTTTTAGTTTTTAGATTTGGTTTTTGGTTTTGTTTTACATTTATTTATTTTTAAATCAGTAAATTATTTAAGAAAAATAAAACAATAAACTATTTAAAAGTTACCATTGAAATTTATCAAATAAAGTGATTGTTATTTTCAATAAAAGATACATTAACATGTTTTAAAGTACATGACTTAAATAAATGATTAATAATAGACAATTTGTTTTTTGTTAAAAATATTAAATATATTTGGGCCTGAAAATAATAATTTATTATTTTGATCAATTAAGGTGGAAGTTTATTTTATGTTTTTTTGGAGTTTTTCCTTAATACTAAGCCCAAAAACCAAACCATATAATTTGTCTTAAAAATAAAAGTAAGCCCAAGACTCTATCCCATAAATAACCGCCGGTTTAATTTAAGTAATGCGGTTCAATCAATTATATATCTTGTATTATTTGTAACACTTTAGAAAGAGTTCAAATTTAAAAGACAACTTGTATCAGTAGATAAAAAGAATGACTCTATTTTAATAGAGTAGATGTGATAGGTAACAAAGAATCAAACCAAATACTTAAGAAAAAGTAAAATTCAAATACATCATTTTTCATCACCAGACCAGCTTCCCTTGAGTTTAGGTCCAGTTGGCCCATCTTCACCATACACTTCATTAGGTATCTTTTTCACCAAGTTAACAAAAGCCGTTTTCAAAGCCCCAAACAAAAACCTCTCTATCCTCTTCACATCATCTTCAACGCTATAATCAATTTTAGGTCCCCACTTCCTAAAATAATTCACCCACGGCGGCTCCACCACTCTTTCCCCGTTTTCATACACCGCCGCAATCACCTCGTACCCTTCCCCTGTATCAAACACCTTCTTACTCTTCGCCGTATCATTCCGTATCCCAACCCCATCGTTTCCTTGCAACACAAGTCCAGGCTTCGGATACATTGCGTGTCCATGAAGCGACGCGTAAGCAACAGGCTTGTTGCTTACTCCACCTTCTTGGAACTCCAAATCGCAAGCTTCGATCCATTCTCCTCCACTGTGCTGTGATAAGTACACTCTCCATAGCTCTCCGGTGAAGTTGCTTATACGTAACGTCACGTGTTCCCAGTCTCCGATGTGTTCACCGATTCTCCCCAACGGCAAGGTTATGAGTTTGACCTTGGCTCGTGCTGGGCCATTGAAAGGGTAGAATACCCACATGGCTATATCTGTGAACGTTGCTCCTAGCATTGGTTTGATGTTGAGATACGTTTGCGTGCTCTGCAAGTCTCCTTTCTTTACTCTCTCTTTACCCTTTTTGTCTTTAGGAAGGTCTAGCCAGTACGAACCGTCGTTAGCTCCGCCTTGTGGAAGGTTCGTACCGTTAGGTTCTATAGGGTTAGGGTTTGATTCTTCGCCTTGCTTGTAGAGCAAGGCACCGTTGCTGAAGTACCAGTTAACAGAGGAAGGTAGGTATTCTTCGTCCGGGTGGAAGTAGATCAATGGAGAATACGTGTTGAACAAGACTCCGGTTTGGGACCCATTAGGCATTGTAGAGAAGTTTAGTTTCGTGTTCTTCAAGCAAGATAAAGATGGAGGTGATGTGTTTTCAGGTTGCCAAGTGAATGTACCTACACAGACCCCTGTAGCTTGTGTTCCTCTAATAGTTGGCCCAAGGCTCGAGACCTTGATTCCGTTTGATTCCCATATCAATGTATCAGCTTCACATTGTTCGGTTAAGTCGGACCGAACACAGCGTACTTTGTCTAGAGGAGGTTTTTGTGAGGAGTTTGTGACTATTAGACCAACGGCTTGGTAACCCTCAGGAGCCACAGGCTGCCAGAAATAGCCAGGTCCGTCTTGTTTGATGTTGAGTGACTCGGTGTTTCCGACAAGGGTGTAATCTACAGGAGGTTGCAAGGTGTTGTTGTTTGAGAGATCTCTAGCTGCGAGTACCCAACCGAATAGTTGACGGTTGTTTGGTTGAACGTAGTAACCGAGAATGTGGAAACCGGAAGGGACCAAGGATGGTTCAAAGAAGGTAGCTCCAAGATTGTCTGGTCCTCCTTCGTAAGTAGACCAAACCTTGTTGAATGTCGGAACTTGGCTAACCTCAAGACCTCCCAAGTCAATGGTTCCTTTCGCAAACTCGCCACCTGAGGATGCAAGTCAAATCAAAATCATTAAACCAATAGTGAAAAAAAAATAGAGTCAGGAAGCCCTAAGATAAATCTTATCAATAAAATTCCATCTATAATTTAGGGGGTCATAAAAAGAAAAAAAAATTATATATATATATATATATAGCTATTTAAAATTTGAGGATCAAGACCAATGTTTCATAAGGTTTTGTCCCCATCTTGGATAAAAAAAAGAACAAGAAGAACCGATAAAAAACTTATACAAAAAAAAGAACTGATAATAATACAAACCTTGAGCAAACGTAGGCAATGGTGATGGAAACTTGAAGGCAGTTTCAACGGGAAGTGCTTTGAGAATCTTCTCTGATGCATCCGAGATTGAAAAACAGTTTCCCATTTTTGGATAACGGAAGAGAAATGGGAAGATTGATTTGCAGATAGTTCAACGGAAGAAAGGGGTTTTATATATGCATTATCTTGGTGTCAATTACTTAGACTAATCAAGAATGTAAACCGTAAACAAGAGAAGTTATAATTGCAAAATACGAAATGCGTAAAACATTGTAAACGAGAAAAAAAAAACGCAAACGTAAACGTAGAAGTCAAAGCTGATCGACGAATTCGAAGGTGTCGTGCAAGGTTTTATTCTAAACGTACATAAGTTTTTCATATTAAAAAAGAGTTTATTATATCCTTCTTGTTCTTTCTTCTGCAATTCACATTACGTGCAAGGTAGCACTTGACATGTTGATGAGGACAAGTGACAGCTTTGGTTATGGTTTATCCAACAACAAAAAAAAAACGTGTTGCTTAATTATATACTTACTGATGCTTTTTGAAAAACTTCAAATACAAAACAATATGTTAGTATGTTTATTTGGTAACTAAAAATCGGTTACCAATAGCTAACACATCTTTTGAACGTGTACGCTATTAAGTTCAATCATAGAAGTCAAATAATGGAAATGGTTGTCGCAACTCAACATTGTTGGAGGGCCCGCGTGATCGTAGTCAAATCATGTAAAAAAAATTGGTTTTTGGTTTTGATTCATGCAGTTTATCTAATATAATCTGGTAATATCCGATCTGGCTACCCCATAACTTTAATTGGAAAAAATATTAAACCCAAATCATATTATGTAGTGATTTTGGAGAGAGAAATACATGAGTGTATTACCTTATAAGACAATTTTTCTTCTTTTTTTTTATGACACATTACACTTGTGGAACACTTTTTGTGGTTTCCAAGATATTTGTTGACTCTTTTACCCTCTGATGAAAGGATAAGTCGTGTCCAGAGGAAACAAATGTAGTATTTCTCCTATAAAACAAAATCGTGTTCAAGTCATCCATGAATCATCTCAACCACACAATAATAGTCACGGCCACGCTGTACACAAAGCGATCAAAAACAAAGATAGCAGAATTTAAAAGATGTGGACATGGATAGCATTGTGGATATTAAAATTATGGAGAGAAAAAATGTGGACATAACTTAAAAGATGTGGACATGGATAGCATTGTGGACACATATTTTTCACAATACAATTCGTCGCATACATATCCATCACATAATTGATTTCTTATTGTTGTTTATGAAACCAAACCATAAGCAAACATTAGACAAGGAAAATAGAGAGAGAGGGAGAGAGCAAACGAGTTCATTACCGAGTTCGATGGTAACATGACAGAAAACTTCTATGTGACCATAGTGGCTTCCCTTTTTCAATCCCAACACATCCATTTAAAACGATAAACTGGCTAAGAGACAATGGCCTCAAAACAGAAGTCTAACATAAATAAAAAACAATGGAGATTGGGATTCAATTGAGATAAGGGTTTAGCAAAGTTCATCTTCTTCTTCTTCATATATTGGTTTCTTCTTCTCCATAACTTGGAACTATAAACAGAGACCAGACCAGATTCAAGAAAGATCAAACCCTTAGAATCCAGTCCAGATCTCCGACATGTGAATCCTAGCTACGACGAAAATGGTGACGGGGTGAGTGAACTCAAACTCTGATGGAGATGAGATGGGGTGAGTGAGATTCTGGTGGAGGAACGTGGATGTGGTTGACGTCTCAGCGTTCTTATCTCTGTGTTTCTGTTTTGTTTTAAGACTTTTACCAGATCTATAAGAGAGAGAGAGGTTCCATCAACAAAGATAGATTATGATTTAATTGGAGGGGCATACATGACATTCAACACCAATAAAGTGTGTGGCAAGTGGATTGTACTCTTTTTTGTAATTGGAAACACAAAAAGTGTCTTAGAATGTAAAAAAATGGAAATACATTCGGTAGTAATAAGTGCATTTTCTACAGGACCTAATCAGATAAGTCAATCCATTGACCAAATATCTCTTGCGAAAAGAGAACATTTTCCTATCTAGTTAAACTAAGCTCTGGACGTTGTGGTTAGGACAAGATCCACCTTAGAAAAAGTAAGTTCCCACCTGGCTAGAACCAGCCTTGAGGTTAATTATAGCATTTGCGTAAGGGTGTGTCTTCCTCGGCCAAATTAGAGAGCAATTAACTACAAACTGAAGATTTATCAAACACACTTATTCTTATTCTTATTTTTTTTATACATTTTCTTTTCCAAATTACAGACATGTGAAATCTGAAAAGCTTTTACACACATAATATCAAGGAACCATGATGACGTGGATTTTTTTTTTTCTGAAACCACGACTATCACATGTTCTTATTCAAACCACACAAGTGAAATACTATAAAGCTTTGGCGCACACCGATCCAAATCAAAGACAATTAGCGTTTCGACCAGGACCACCATAGAAGAAATGATTACCCCAATAAGAACTACCAGTACCTCCTGCTTTAATATTATAACAGTTACCGTTACTTGCATAGGGGTAAAGTCCTTGTGGTTCTCTCAGAGTATTGGCTCCATCAACTGTCTCTAGTTTCCTGAAATAGCTAGCTTTCTTATACCATTCGTCTGCGAAATGCCCACTTCCCATATCGGTGTTTGTGTGTCTCCCATTGGTCCTTCGGTTTACAATTTCACCTCCCCATTGAACCGTCGTAGCTCGATCTCCTAGAGAAGTGAATAACTTGCCAGGCCAGTACCCAACATACTCTTCACCGATCATTAGCCACCAGTTTCCGTTGGACTAAAATAATTTACAATCCATTTTGGTTTTAGATGCAGATATAACTTCAGGTGCAACTCAAGTTACGTCTACAATATGGGGCATCAAATTATACAATGCTGTTATATGCCCTTTGCAAATGTGCACCCATATTTGTTTTTCTTTTTCGCTGGGTTTTTTAAACTTAGACATTTGTAAGAAAAATCTGAAGATAATCTCATTAAATACAGAAAATTAAATTTTCAAACAGAACTCTAAGTGGTTTACATTTTCCATGAACCATGAATACAAAATTTATCTCTTTCTAGAATATATTATATATTGGGTTCGAAAAGAAAATTTCTTTACCTTTCAATATAATTTACTCCCTCCGTTTCATTTTAATTGTCATTCTACGTTTTTGCACACAGATTAAGGAAACATTTAATTTTACATATTTTCAAGAAAAAACACAATTACCTATCACCTAACCACTTTTCAACCAATAGAAAAATAGAATATCATATAAAACTAATAAATTTCATAAAACACATATCTTATTGGTTTATGCCCCTAACTGAATTTTTTTATCAATCCGCCTCTGTTGTTAAGAAAAAATAAAATGCAAAGACAGAAAAAAATATGTTAGTACCTTCCATATAAGCATGGGCAGGCCATACTGAGCTCCGTCATATTGTGAGACCTGACTGAAGGATCCACCTGGAGTTATCACTTTGCTAGTCTGAACAAAACCTGAGCAGCCATTGTTGTAGCATCCTGTACTTTGGTAATAATCGCTCTGTTTCTCAAAACAATTCAATTAGTATTTATGGATTCCCATTAAAACTAACGTATAGATTGGTTTTAAGGTGAAGAAAATTAAAGAATTTGTGTAAATATTCGTACTATTGATCTTTTTATAATGTTTGAAAGAAGTTTTAACATAAGATCTGCTAAAACAAACTTAGTGAAAATCATAAGCAGAAAACACATAGCGCCACTCAAAAGCTTACTGTGCATGAAAAAGTTAGATTGTCATCAAAATAAGCAAGAGAAGGCTGTTCATAAGCAAAGCCAAGGTTAAGTCTATAGACTAACAATATACTCTGTTTCATAGTAAATGTCACTTTAGCCTTCTTATGTTGTTTCAAAATATGTGTCATTCTACAATTCCAATACAACTTTGTAAATTAAATTCATATTTTACCCTTGTGAACAACCAATAGATTTTTATTTAAATCATTCTCATTTAATTAATCATACATTACATAGGGATATATTAGTTTATTAAACAATTTTCTTAATCTTCGTGAAAAGTGTCAAAGTGACACTTATTTAGAAATGGAGAGAGTGTTTAATTATGTTTATACATGAAATCTTTCTTACAATAAAATTTAAAAATAGGCTAATGGCTTTTCCATGACAATATATTGGACTCTCATAAATGCTATAATAATGGTAAAATATGTGTTTCCGGAAAAGAAAAAAAAAAAAAACTTCGATCCTGATTTTTTTTTTTTTTTGTCAAACTACTTCAATCCTAATTTTTTTCTGTTGATTAGGGTTACACACACACATATAATATGAATTTTATGGAAGAGGGGAACTTACCGTCCAGTAAACAAACAATCTAAGATTGTTGTCACCATACAATACTGGACACACCTATAAATTAAGCAAACAAAGGTCTTAGTTGATCAGCTTTTTTGCATTTAAAGAATTAGATGTAATTAAGATTGGAAGGAAAGAAGAGCAAGACCTGCAACCCAGCTTCAATTGTGTTAATATCATAGCCATCTCCAGACGAAAGCCACGTCTGAGCCAAGCTGAACTCGTTGGGAACTTCAACTTCTGGTCTCCACATATTTATCACAAACTTTGTCCCGTAATAATTTCCGTCCCTCGAGTTCATGATCGCGTACTAAACCGACTCCAAAAATTAGGAAAGTGTTAAATAAAAAATTACAGATCTATTCATCAACGTTAAAAAAAAAACCCTGATAATTGAGTTGAGAAGCACATATAGTATTTCATAAATTAACAAAAAAAATTCTAATGTAGAATGTACACTTACATCATGTTACCTGATTTATAGTAAGTTAGTATAACTTTGTATGGCATATATATTACATAAAAACTAATATAACAGTATTATTTGACACATAATTTGAATATTTCTGGTAAAAAGATATGACTTATGAATAAGATGATGTAATAAAAAGATAATAAAGAAACACACATTTCATTTAAGTATGTACAACTAGATGTTGTTTGTGTGTAAGTTATTTGTGCTTTTTGATAATAAAATCACATGTTGCACAAAAGGTACTGACATAAATTTAGATATCTATTAAATATTTTTTTCATGTCTGTAAAATATATTTTAGCTGTACATGACTGTTAAGATAAATAAATTTCCAACCTAAAATCAATTAATGATAAGAAGAACGATTATCTATTTAATATATTGCTGACGATCATTTTCAACTTTTGATATGGGACTTTTGTTCCTGGCCACCTGTAAATAAGTAACACAAGGACAATGCATAAAAGGTGTACCTCATGGCCTGCTCCAGGGTTGTTCTGGTGAGTCCCTTTCCCGAAACTCCTATGAGTCTTTTTCCCGAAACTCTCAATGGATTTTGCTCGTAAGATATCTTCCTTTTTTGTTCGTCTTATAGGAACAGTGTTATCTGGACACACTCCATTCTTGTGCCACACCTGTGTTATAGCCTTTGCCTCATTCTTGGTGTGCGTAGAACCACCTTCCGGAACAAAACTCGGCCTCATCTACGTACGAAAACATTCTGTTTAAACATAATCATGCATGTAAATAAAATAAAAAAGAGATCACAAACAAAGACAAACCTGAATGGTATGGTTCTTAAGTAGGGGATGGTCAAAGGCTGGTTGATTAGTTATTGGAACACAGTCTATTATATCTCCATCTTCACTCTGTAAGAAGTATTAAAGCGAAAAAATCAATCTCTTTTTTACGTGAATATCCAAAGCAAGGAGTTATGACGCATAGGGAATCCCTTATATATTAAGTTATAAACAAAAGTAAAAAACTTACATTTTATGCCACTTATTTATCAGTTTTATCTCTGATTACTAACAGTAAATTTAAACACTGCTGAGTATATAATATTTCATAATTTTCAATATATTTTCCATAGTAGTTTTCGAAACTACTTTTGTCGACGAGAAATGAAAAAAAAACATCTAAATTACCAATAATGAGTAAAATTATCTATTACTATGGCAAAATTATAGCAACGGAATCTCACTTGAGATAATGTAATCATAATTACTAGGGTTGTTTTTTTGTTTTCTTTTACCAAAAAAAAACTAGGGTTGTTTTGGACACAATAATATATCTAGATAAGTTAACTAATGCAAGAAAAAAAAAACGTATAACCCCAATCTCAGATATATGCATTATCTATACTATTATTTAAGAAGTAAATTTGCTTAGTTGTCATGTTCTCCATAAGTTTAGTTGATTTTGTTTATTTATCATATTCTTAATATTTATATATACTTTATTTATAAATAAAACGAATTTATATGAATATATCATATTTTTAGTAAATAAGATAATTCTTGTGAATTATGTTGTTATCTAGAAATATATTTTAAGAATTATCTTATTATCTCGAAATATATTTTTATATATGAAACTTAAAAAGATAATTCTTATGTATTAATTATGTTGTTATGTTGATAATATATTTTTCTATTATAAAATTTAAAATTAAGATATAAATTATATTATTAATAATTAAATATAAATCATAACTAAATATAAATCATCAAAACAATTATTTTAAAAGTGAATTTGTTGATTTGTCTCTATGATCCTAGGTAATTTTGATCATTTATAATTTTTTATTATTCATAACAGTCGTAGTTATTCTATAATTGAAATAAATTTACACTAATAATATTATACTTTTAGGATATAAGGTAAATCTTATGTATTATGTTGTTATCTTGAAAAAAATATTTTTATATTATATAATTTAAAAGTAAAATAGAAAATTATCTATTATTAATTAAATATAAATCATCACTCAAGAAAAAATATTTAAGAAGTGAATTTGTTGAGTCATTAAGTTCTTCATGATTTTAGGTAATTTTAATTATATGTCATAATTTCTATAGTCTTATATAATTATTATATAATTAAAAAAAGTTATCATATTATTTTTTAGAAAATAAATAACTTATGCATTATTGTTATCTTGAAAATATGGTTTTCTATTATAAAATTGAAAATTAAGATATAAACATTATAATTAAATAAAAATCAAGAAAAATAGTTATAAAAATATATTCTTTTAAATATTTCTAATGTTCGAGTTTTGTCTTTGATAATTATTTGATGTTTTATTTTTACTTTTTGAAAACATAAATAATAATTTATTATGCTGATTTTTAAATTAATGAAACATCAACTAATAAATATTCATGAGACAATTATGCCCGCATGTGCGGGCAAAACACCTAGTTTTAATATATTGTTTCTCCGCACAACAGAACATAATAATACTTTTTTGTAACTGCAGAAAATAATACTTTTTTTATATAAACTAAATATATAACACTTTGTTGTTTAAATACCTTAATGGATTTATGAGCAGGCTTATTGAGCCGCTTCAAAAGTCTTTGTACTTTGATTTCTTGTTGATCAGATAACTGTTTTCCATAAACACAAGGAGATACTATCACTGTTATCACCACCAAAGCCACGGTGTAACCAACCATTCCCATCACAACAATGCTTATGGTTCCTAACCTTTAATTTCTGATTCAACTACTCTTTGGAAATTTGTATTTTTTTATCAACTACTCCTTGGAGTTTAAATAGAGGGGAATAATGCGCATACATTGCAATATTAATTAAGAAATTGCGCATAAATCATTATGTTATATTTCTTAGTGGTGATAATCATAATACAATATGAAAAAAAACATTGACCCATGACTTAAAACATTACAGCAGTATTAGAATTTATAAAACTAAGAGAAAAAAAATTCAGATTTCAATATACGATTTAACCACATGCCAAAAGTAAGGTCTTAGGGGTAACATAAATAGATTAATTTTCTTAATTTTTGAATCGAAAGATTTTAAGTATTTTAGAAAATTACTGACTGAAAAACTGGAGCTTATATGGTTTATCAAAACAAACAAAAATTGCAAGTTTTCGGATATCCATTCTTTGCTCACTTGTTTAAGTCATGGGTCAATAAACCATTGAGTTTTTTCTTGACTAAGTATAAACCATTGTATTATGTTATTATAATCTTCGTAATCACTTAGAAATACTGTGATAGGTTTTTTCAAAAGTTAGTGCTTAAAGACCTTATCACCATCTTCTTCTTTTTCGGTCATCCATCTTATGGCAGATTTTCTCTGAGTTTAGTGCTTAGAAACCTTATCATCTTGTGATGAATTTGTCAGTGGTAGAACTAAACAAGTCAAGAAAACAATGACCAGTATACGGTAGATTAATGTTCTTCAGTGGAGATGTTTTAAATTTTATTTGTCGAGCAATCTTTTACCAAACCTGAGTTATAGCCATTTCCTCTTTCTCGGTGTACTTAAAATCACTTTCCGGGTTGAAACTCAGTTTCATCTACATCCATAAATTTTACATCGCAAGTGATTCAAAGACATATATAGTGTTCTGATAATAAATAACTAAGGAAAAACAAGTAAAACCATAAACCTTATTTTCAATTCTGATGTCAGCCCTAAACCTAAACGCCTAGCAACTTGGCCAATGATGTGAAAGAAACAGTTGGTGGAAGAATCGTATATGGTGTAAAACTCACCAACATCTTATTTTCAAACTTCACTATAAAAAACTGCATATGGGGCTTACGTATTCTAACATTATCTCTCATGTTTTAGAAAACCTTCACTTGATTGAATCGCAAAACTTATCAAGAAACCTCTCATATACGAATTAACATGTGTAGATTTTGATTATGGTATGGTTTGATCTTTGTGGACATAAAACTTATCGTGTCAAATGTCAATTCCGTTATGGTAAAGGATATATCTTTTCGACTTTGAGTATTGTTCTTGTTCTCGGTTTTCTTCATTTTTGGGTTCGTAGACTATACAAATTCTCATTTCTTATCATAAAAGAAATGAAATATATTAGTTCAATCTTTTTTTTGTCGGCTATTAGTTCAAGCTTAAAATGTATAGAATTGTCATATAAAATTTATAGAGTCACACAAAAAAGTTTAAAATCATAGAGACATGAAACATAATTAAGTTATGCATATGTTTACATTTTAGCTAGTGAATGTGCTATTCAACAACGAGGTCCATTACAAATGTGTTACGACAGTAACGGCTCAATAGATTGCCACAACGTGATGATACTGAGCTGAAATCAAATTTAGGTTAGGTTTGGTTTAGAGTTTTGCAGGATATATTAACATACCTCAGGCCGAAATACTTTAAAGAAGTCATAACTTTGGCCTATGTTTTTTAATTAATTAGCTTTATAAGCTCAATTCAGTTTGGTTTTCTTATTAGGTTTGATTATTATTTGTTAGTCTGCCATGAAACATTCTGCATGATGTTACGAGCTTGTAAATGCATCAGTTCATTACTAAATCTAGACATGAGTTATCTTTTTCTTAATACAGACATGAGTTTATAATTGTTGAGCTTTCCTTTGACACCATTGAATACTTTTCTTGAATTAATTTAATTCTCGTAGTATGTTAAACTTATTATACTTCTCGATTGAAAACTCGTCAACGGGATTCAAGTCAACTCTCTTCTAGTTTCTGGGTCCACGTTATATGTTGACTTTAAAGAGAGGCTATCACAAGAAAGATCGCCTTGTTTATTTGTTACCGCTCATATACAAAATAAATATCTTGTAACATTTCGGTTTATGTTACGTATGAAAGATTTAAAAGAATTGATTTGATTACATATATGGTCTGGTATTTTACATTTAGAACTCCAGAATTAATCATACCTGAACGAGTAGTGAAAGAATAACTGACCTATCAATAAGTCATTTGCCGTATCGTATGAGTGATGCTAAAACACAGAAAAATGTCATATGATGATTATAAGATTAATAAACATGACTTCAAATCTAAAAAATAACGCATTATCCGTCCAACAAAACCGAATGAACGAGTGTTGAAGGTCTATTAGCCCTGAACGGTCCAGCGTACAATATCATTCATTAATGGATCATATAGTTTTCAGCGTACACATGCGACAATATTCTTTAAAGAAATTTATCTTCTCTTCAGACCATAGAAACAAACCCTAAACCACTCTTGCAATCTGAATCCAATATACTTAAGAATGTGTATATATAATATGTTTTATACAGTTGATGAATAATTTGGAATGACCTACGTAGACGGATCTTAAGGGCAATTAGGATTTCGACCGGGACCACCATAATAGAAGTGACTTCCCCATGAACCTCCACTGCCACTCTTCACATTGTAACAGTTCTCTTGATCAGTGAACACTTGAAGATTTTCAGGGCTTCTCAACTCATTTGATCCATCGACTACTTGAACGTTCTTGAAGTAACTAGCTCTGCCCCAACCTTCCTCTGCGAACCTCCCACTTCCCATCTGAGTGGTAGTGTGTTGTCCTTCCTCAGACTGCGAGTTAACCACTTCACCACCCCACTCAATCATGGATGCACTTTCTGATAAGTAAGAGAAGAGTGAAGCTGGCCAGTATCCTATTATGTACTTCTCTCCAAATTGTAACCACCAATGTCCTTCTTTTGGATCCTAAGAAAAAACAAACCGAAATTACTCAAATCAACTGAATAAACAGAACATAACTAAAACCATGTTCTCCTTAGGCTACATATTAAAAGTAGGTTTAATTATCCAAATTAACTTTTTGTGCAAATATTATATAGTATTAAGTTAACTAAGTTATACAAGATGCAGCTTTCAAAGATTTGAAGTTGGAAACAAGTTTGGATTCTTGTTTTTTCGTTTTACCTTCCAGATAAGTATGGTAATGTCATACTGAGAATCTCCAAAGCTTGACAGAGGTGAGATTGATCCACCCATTGCAATTTCTCTGTTGATTTGAACAAACCCTGAGCACAGAAGATTGTAGCAGCCTGTACCTTGGTATGCATCACTCTGTTTTTTTTTTCAAAAGGGAGACAAAAGAAATGATTCTTCAATAAACTAAAACATACATAGAGATACTTGACAAATGTTCAGAAACTTACAGTCCAATAAGTGAAGAGCCTGGTGCGACTATCACCATACAACTGTGGACTAACCTGAAACACACACAAATCTTTGAATCAGAAACACAAATCTTTTTTCTATTACAAGAAACTAAAAGGCTGTTCAAGAACAGAGGATCCACCTGCCAGCCAGCTTCAATACTATTAAGATCAGAGTTGAAGTTTCCACCCAAAACCCAAATCTGAGCCAAGCTAAACTCATTAGGCATCTCCACATTCGGTTTCCATACATTGATCTTCGCTTTCGCCCCGTAGAAAACCCCATCTTCGACATACATTATCGCGTGCTACATCAAATACAAAGAGTTGGAAACGTTGTTAACAAACACACACAACAACAACAAAAGAGAGTCAAAACTAATGCAAATACATGTCAATAAATAGTACCTGATGACCATTTTGTGTAAGAACACTAGCTGGCTCATAAGATCTAGGCTTAGGAACACTCTTCTGGTTCTTCATACCGAACTTCTCGACCGAACTCGCTCGATAAAGATCTTCCTTTGTAGTTCTTCTGATGGGAACTGTGTTCTCTGGGCATTTCCCATTCACATGCCAAAGCTGAGATATAGCACTAGGCTGCTGTTTCTTGGTGGTGTTTGATGAAACTTTACTCTCGCTAAAGACACTCTCTGGGTTGAAACTTGGCCTCATCTATAAACAAACCCATTAAACATTGTCAGAACAGAGTAAAAAAAACAGAGTCTTTTGAACAGAACAGTTTGTAAAACCTGGACAGTGTGGTTGATGAGCAGAGGATGAGTTAAAGCTGGTTGGTCTGTGATTGGGACACAATCTATTACATCTCCATCTGGGCTCTGTTCCAAACCAGAGATAATTTGAGAAACTCAGCCAAAAGAAGAAACTTTATGTGAAAGTATTTACCTTTATAGATTTGAGAGCTGGCTTGTTGAGTCGTTTCAAGTGGGTACGGATTTTTAGTTCGGAAAATTCATTTTCGCCGGAGATGACTGGAGAAGTGAGAATCACCACCACCGTCATTACCAGAGCAAGCAAGAAGCTGACTCTTGTGGACATGGTCAAAGAAACACAGAAAAGGATTAAGCTTTTCTTACGGAAAGAGAGATTCTTTAGGAGAAGAGAGAAGATGAGAGAGTTTATTTTAATTTATTTTATAGAGATTTTTGGGTTGAAGTGGGATTGCGTTTAGTTCTGGGCAGTGGGCAGTAATCTTCTTCACAAACGACATAAATAGAGACAAAGTGAAATTTTAAATTTTATTTTGTCAGAATCCTTTTTTCTGTAATAATTCATTTGATTTGAAAGTTGACAAAAAAAATTCATTATCTAGTTTTACTGTCAGCTAAGCTTTATAGGAAAAGGAGATTTTTTTTTTTACTGAATGGAACATTCCATTCTTCTGACTCGTTATTGGGATTTAAACTTTGTGTTCCCGAATTCAAATATTTATATACTGACATCAAAAAAGTTAAATTTATTGTAATCATAGTAAACAATTTTTTTTTTACATAATGTGTTATATCATTGGAAGGATCAAATGAACATATCTACTTTTCTTTTTTTTTTGAAACACAAACATATCTACATTATTCTTTTTGTTTTCATTACCTAATGATGCCTATTAGGATTAACAGGAAGGAAATTATTAGCAACTTTAAATGGTAACTAGCTTTCACCCGCGCGGGTATATTTTTACCATTTTGATAAAATTTATTTAAATTAATTATTCAAACATAAAAATTTTAAAATTGTTTTATTAATATTTAAAAAAGTTCTATTATAATGTTTGATTTTCACGTAATGTTTCCATATTCGATCCAGATCCATAGTTGAATCGGTACATCCGGGAATTTTTATATAATCTAGTTAAGATTTAATTAAAAATTTACTAATTAAAATTTTAAGCCAACCCAGTATATATCTTAAAACCCGCTATTAATCTGTATTATGATATCCGATGATCCGTTAAATAACCCCATAAAAACTGATAATATATTTTTAAAAATTTGTTAAATAATTCATATTTTTAATATTAAAGAAAATTGATTTTTTGTAATTTCTTTAATAAAAAATTTCTTGTCATTTGAAAAAATGAAACAATGGAAATAGAAAAAAACACAATTTATTCATATAACAATATTAGTTTCTTTTCATTATTAATAACCTATGATAAGTTTACATTTTTACTCATTTTATATCTAAAATTTAGTTTTTAAAACAAACTGAATTGACATATCATTATTATGGATAAAATGAAACAGTAAATAATTATTTATAATTTTTGATCGCTAAATAATATGATGCACGGAAATATGATATTAAAATTAAATAAAAAAAATCATAATTTTCATAAAAGAAAAATTATTATTAATCACAAAATAGGCAATATTACCAGTTACCATAAATATAGGAGATATTAAATTGTTTAATTAATTAAGATTCTAAAAATAAATAGTGGTATTATCTTATAAATGTGATAAAAATCCAAAATTTCAACAATATGATACTGTTTTAATAGTATAGATTTCTCATCTACGTAAAACACCTTTTGCATTATTAATGATAGTTCCTTACTAACGTTTTTTAATTTCTCTTTATTAACCTTCTTAGGAAAAAAAAACAAATGATAGTTCTCTTGCAACATAATTGCATTAACGAGATTCGAATATAGTTTTCTAGCTTGCTATGTTTTCATCATCCGCTACTTATGTAAACAAAACATATTTTATAATCGAAACAGCTTCATAACTATCATATATATACACACTTGTAGTAGTAATTTAAACCTTTAACATACGGTATTGATATTTGCAACAAAAACAGAACAATATGGGGAACATTTAAATCACTGAGTCAACCATTCAAGCAATTTTTTTTTTTTTGAGGAAGGGCATAACTATTCAAGCAATGTTCCACTACAATATGATCACTATTTTAAAAACATTTTTTTATAGTGTAGAGATTAGAAAGAAAGACCGGTGAATGGGTAGGTGGAGTGAGAGCACCCACAACAATGTGAAAAAACAGTCTAAAGTCAAAAACGAAGACACTAATTGTCGGTTAATAATGTTATTAAGGAGACAAAAATGACAATACATCGCCTCAAATCACAATCTCAACTCCCCCACACCTTTCTTTTTTTTCATTCTGTTACCATCTCTATTCCCTACTTTGTATTTCTCTTTTTATAAAGCAGACGATCATGTCCAAGGCCATTAAATTATTATTGGCCAAAACACGTATTTGTCTAATTCTCTATTTATATATCAGATTTTATGTGCACCGCCACAATAGATATTTGTGAATTATGTGCAAATTGAATCTCTCTATCGTATTATAACAATATGTTATTTAATAAGAGTATATACCAGAGACAGTTTACACTCAAAGAAAAACATGTGAGGTGATGTTCAAGGGTTAGATTTTCTTTCTTGGTATTGTAGGAAATAAAGGGTGATGCAATATTATTCTCAATATATAGATGATCTTTTAATTTATGAGTTTTCCTTAGGTTCCCGGTTCAAAATTCAAATTTTGGTTATGCAGAGTCAATATATTCATGAATGTGGCATCTAAAAACAGATTTATTACAACACGCATTTGTGGTATAAAAATAGTATAATTACAAACCCAAGCAAAGTAAACATTTCTGCGCATTGTTGCCAACTATAGTTTGACATAACTTTCAATATAAGTGTTAATCCTTAATATAATAAGGTCATAAAGTATAACAACTTGGTTTAATCGTCCTACCTCTGAGTCATTTCCACAAAATTACTCATTCCTTATCAGGGAAACGGTATAAACAGAAAAAGAGACAATGACATCATTGTACATATTAGGCTACACGTGAAAGTTGAAACCTCCTTGCAAAGCTTTTTTTTTTTTTTTTTTACCCTCGAATGTCCTCATCTTCGAAAACAAAGTAAAAGTTAAAATCCCATTGCTGATTGCTTTTGTATTCTTTAATTATTATAACATACCAACAATGTTAATGAAAACTATTATGCGACAAACATTCGCATCAAAGCTTTGAGTATACTTAACCTCTGAGCAGTAACCTTTTATTACTTAAAAGGTTGACAGAAAAGACGATATATTCAAATATTCAAAAAGACAAAAGAAAGAGTGGCTTCATCTCGTGGTTTCTATAAAGGAGCCAAAGTGGAATCTTGGAGTATTATGCTTAACTACCTGTCACGGGTATGTATTGACACTAGTACCACATTTCAACGTCCCACTAGTTATTATTATTACACACTATCAATAGTCTGGACCACCCAAAATATGGGCCACGTGATGGGCCTAAACACTATTAAGGCTCACATACGCAAAAATCTAAAGCTTTTTGTTGATTCGTTCCACTAATCAAAGACAAAATAATCTTTTTAACTACAATTTGTTACATAGTAACTAAAGACGCAGAACCTTGTTGTTCTTACTAGCTTCCACTGCATCAGTTTCATCAGCCTTCTTCAATCTTCTCCATCTTTGCTCCTCATGCACTTCTGCATCCATTTGCATTTGCTTAAATCTAGCAGCTCTTTCCTCCTCCGATAGTTTAGAGACACCACCATTCCGCCTTCTATTGTGGTATCTATTCTCCCTTGAGGGGTGCTTGTCATTGTCAAAATCCTCTGTTTTCCTTTTTCTATTCTGACCTTCTCTTCTTTTGGACTCATCCTCTGACTCTGACCTCCGTCTCTCATAGTCTTCATCATGATCCACTGATGTTCTGTGATGATGGGGTTTTCTTCCACTCTCTTCACCAGAATCTCCCTCAGAATCAGAATGATGTCTGGATGAAGTTTCCTTACGATGCTGCTTTTCGCCCTTTTCTTCAACCTGTAAATGAGAAAATTCTCAAATAGGTCAGTAGCTTTATTAGAAAGATACAAACATAGAGCATATTCAATTGCAAAACCCCCCTCATAAACATAACAGAGAAATAATAAAAAGATACTAACAGATTTGCGAATAAGAGACATCTTGATAGGGTTATTCTTGATTCCAGCAAGAGCTTCTTGCTCACGCTGCCTGATAAGAAGCAAAGGGTCAGAGTGAAGCTTCCTCCAAGAATCATTAGCAGAGAGCGTCTTATCCTCAAACAACGCACCAGGAGCCGATGGATCCGCCTTCTCACTAGCACCATTACCAGCTTCAGCAGCATTGGCTAAAGGCTGCTCTTCTCTCTGAAACGACACACCTGAACCACTCGCACTTCCTTTCCCTACAGCTAATCCCTACAGCTAATCCCTACAGCTAATCCTGAAACATAAAGAAACTCCAATCTCTCTTGCTTCCTACAATATGATCACAAAATTACGATTTTTAGAATGACCCACAACTTCAAATCACCAATTCAATCGCATATTATAGATTCAACACTAAAATTTAGTCTAAATCATAAGAATGATTCCAAACCCTAACCCTAATTTCTGAATTTTATTTACTAAGGTAACCAAAGATAAGATTTTTAGAATGACCCACAACTTCAAATCACCGATTCTATAACAATCACAAAATGAATCAACAACCAAATCAGATTCTCCATACCCTAAGATACAACCTCTAAACCATAAACCCTAATTTTGAAATTAGATACAACCAAAATCAAAATTTTCTTTTGAATGAATGTTAAATTTTATTCACCAAAAAACCTTTTACATCAAGTGTATCCTTTTTGATTTCTAAGTTCTACCCCCATAATATTGAAATAAGAACTATTTACATTCTAGTATTAAACCAAAATTGCATCAATTCTCCATACCCTTAATCCCTTTCCTTCCAATCAACGTCATCTTGTTCCTAATCCCTTTTTCAATGGTCTTGCATTGTAACACTGGTAATGGCAATAACTTGTCACCGTGCATAATCTTATTAAGCTCCCTCCATATCGCATACAAAAATGCTTGGAATGCGTATCGGAGACAAAATAAGCTCATCTTCTCTCTTCTTCTATCTGTGATAAGAGGAATAATCCCAGACCAAACATTGGTATAGGCAGTTCTCAAGATCCTTTTAGCAATGTACTCCCAAACCTTTGCAGAATAGTCACACTCAAAAAACAAATGACTTCTCGTTTCAGTATCACCTGTACAAAGAAGGCAAGTAGTATCTAGACCGTGACTCCATCTTGCAGCCTTATCCAAAGTCGACATTCTATCTTTGACATACAGCCACACCATCAATGCATACTTTGGAGTAGCTTGAGAAAACGAAATACTCTTGGCCCAGAAACAATGAGCCTTACTCTCACGAATCAATAACCAGGTTTCAAAAAAACTCTGCTTGAACCCTGACTTCCTTTTCCAGAGATTAATATCCTCACTCTCTAGTTTTAGAGCTCCCATAATAATATTCACCTCAGCTTCTATCTCATTTAGAACCTCTAAACGATGTCTCCTTCTCCTTCTAGTATTCAAAACTGCTTCCTCCAATGTCGCATCCTTTCTCACACCCAAGTCTATAATGCCTCGAGCCCCCAATAACTCAAAAAGAATCCCTTTTTCTGACCATTTATCGAACCAGAATGAGATATGCCTTCCATTTCCCAACTCTTTCATATAGAAAGATTTTTCAACAGCCGAAAACGGAAAGTTCATTAGTTCTCAGTTTCAGTAACCCCTGCCATGTAAATTGATGATTTCTCTAAGCTTATACGCAACCCTGACCAGTATTCGAACTCATCAAATACAGAGAATGCTCCTTCGACAGACTTCTTTGATCCCTCAACAAAAATCTTTAAGTCATCTTTGAAGCATATATGCGTAATTAACAGCTTTTTACAACCAGGATAGAACATGAACTTCTTCTCAGCTACAGCTTTATCCATCTTCAGAGATAAAACGTTCATACACGATATAATTAAATAGGGTGATAGAGAACACCCTTGATGAAGACCTCTTGAACTCTGAAAAAACCCAGCAAGATCCCCGTTAACTTGTACTGAAAAAGATGGACTGGAGATGCAAAGTTTAATCCAATGAACAAACTTCTCCAGGAAACCCAAAACTCTCAGACTTGTCAAAACAAAGCTCCACTGGACAAAATTAAAAGCTTTTAATATGTCTATCTTCCTAAGACATCTTGGAGAGACTGTGTCCTTGTGATACCCTTTAACAAGCTCATAAGCAAGAAGCACATTCTCCATTAGGAGCCTCCCTTGTACAAAAGCAGATTGGGTCTCATTAATTTCTTCAACCTATTAGCTAGGGTCATTGAGACAACCTTGTAGAGTACATTGCAACATGCTATAGGACGATAGTTTTTCAGCTCCATAAAATTCAACTTCTTGGGAATTAACGCGAGGATCGTGGAGTTAACTCCCTTTGGTAAGAATCCAAATTTGAAAACTGATTGCACCGGTATGATGAAATCATGAGAAATAACCGACCAAGTCGTTTTACAAAAACTCACAAGGAAATCCATCCGGCCTAGGGGACTTATTCTTTTCCATTGCAAAAAGAACACATCGAATCTCTTCTTCAGAAACTTCAGCTTCTAGACTTCTACAGTCTTCAGAAGAGCAACGAAATTTGAGAAGATCCTGCAACTCATCCTCTGATACTCCCTTATAATTCCCAGGCTCATGATTAAGGAAATCCGAGAAGAAATTTTCTACCTCATGTTTAATCTTAAAATGATCAGTCACCACTCTTCCATCTACACATCTTATTTCTCTTATCAGATTATGAGCTTGGGCGAGTCTTGATGGCTCTGTTGAAGGTCTTGTTGTTCTGATCACCAACATCAAGCCAATGTAATTTAGCTATCTTCCTTAAGAAATATTTTTCCAAGGTAGCAACATGTAGCCATTTACCATATACTTCTGCCTTCTCTTGAACTGCGACATCACTTGGGTTAGCTAACGTGATACTCTGCTTTTCACATAGCAATTCAAAAGTCTCCTTAGCTCTCTTAGATAAGTTTCCAAGCTTTTCTCTACCCAACTCGCGTATCAAAGGCTTCAGAGACTTAAGCTTCTTAGAAAACCTGAACATAGCTGAAGTAGAGTGGAACAAAGTCTATGTATTATTCCAGTACCTTTGAATCATTGGTAGGAAACAAGGGAGACTTCCTAACGCATTTATATACTTGAACGGTCTTTTAATCTTTTCTCTTGGAGGAAGAAGTTGAACTTTGCACCTCAGATGATCTGAGAATCCACCCGGCTCAAACACAGAATAAGCATTACTAAATTTGTGCAGGGCCTCTTCATTTAGCAACACTCTATCTAATTTCTTGCAAATAACTCCCTCCTTCCTCTTATTGCACCAAGTGAACAACGGACCTTGGTATGCCATATCTGTGAGTTGGCAATGCAACACCACATTCTGAAAATCTCTCATTCTAGCCGGAATCCTACTCATATTATCAAATCTCGAACTCTCAGCCCCATCAAGAATCTCATTGAAATCACCCATAATCATCAAAACTTTTTTCTTAAAACTAGGAGAATTATGGTGAAACACAAGATCCTCCAAAAGAGCCTTTCTCCTCTCTACTTGATTACTTGCATATATACACGATCAATAAAAACCTTCTTCTCCCTTAAGTTCCACCAAACAAGTAACAATCTGATCCGATTTATAAACTGGACTCACTCGAATCAGCTCCCTCCAAATGAACCAAATTCTTCCTCCTTGACTGTCTTCATATTTTGTGATTGAAGACCAGTCACTAAACACCTTCTTCAGAATCTTCTATGCCTTTCTTTCCTTAATCCTCGTTTCCAAAATACAACCAAAACTCATCTCCTTATCGTTTATCCACTCAGTAACAACAGAATGTTTTAAATCTCTTTTCTACGAATCTTCCCTTTATTGTTTCCACAAGAAACCCGCCATATTTATAGTTTGCGTCGAGAAGACCTTTTTCTCTTCGGTTGAACCTCTTGACCTTTAGCCTTCTGACCTCTTTTCCCTCCTTTTTGCATTACTGCTTCATCTTTTCCATAGCTTTCTGATCAAGTATCTGTATGAACCAAAATTCGCATTGTCGTTTTTCCGTAAAATAAGGAAAGTTAGGAAAAACCCTAATTTTCAGAGGATCCGGATCTCTGCAAAAATACACAAAACGACAAAGAGAACAAACAGAATATAGATGATGAATTGCACAAAGGCTGTTTATTGATAAAGATATGAATCAAGAGTTTGAAAGATGTTACAACAAAGAGAATCGCGGAACTTAAACAACCAAACGTTCTAAGAATCCGACTTGCTAGTCTAGCCACCTAAGTCCTAAATTCGCTTAAGCTAACAGCAGTTGTTTAGGTCTAAAAAGTTCTTTTTTTTCTCCTTTGGCTTGGGAACTCCTTATATACTCCTTGGTAGGTCGGTTTGGGCTTCCTCTTTCCGCTGGTGGGCCGAATCTGCCTTCAAGCGGAAATATTCCATTTTCCCGATCTTCATAATTATCTTTAGGAAAACTTCCATTTTTCTTCAAACCTTGACATTTATCTTCTCCTCCAAATAAGGGATAAACCGTCATCATATCCTTGGGCTGGATTTCGTCTAAAATCATAAGTGGGCTTTTATCCCGTTTTAGGACCTTTCAGACCGTTTTGCGATTTTAGCCATTTTTACGTTTTTATAAAAAACGTTCCGCGATACGGTGCCGTTAATATAAAATAGCTCGGGTTAATCGTAAATTTAAGGCGACATTTGATGTTTCGTTAACCGTCGCCGTTTTATACGATTAATTTGAAATTATAAGAGAAAACAAGTCTTTGTGGTTTTTATTGTAAAAGTTCAACGATAAATCCGATCGAGTCTAAACAAGAAGCAATATGACCGTAATCCGGAGTGTGATCAAGCCAGGAGTCTTTAGAGGTTATGTCTGATCAACAGATGGATGATTCAGATAGCACGGTCTAACTCGCCCGGTAGCAAACTGGACATTGTGTCCAACTCACCACCGATTTTCTTTACTTCTCTGGTTCCTCCTTTACAGCTTCTTTGCTTTCTTTTTTCACTCCAGTAATATAAATATGATTGAGGTTTTGGTGCCAACTAAAGTTTTCGTAAAATGTTAGGGTATTTACAGCAGTGACGACATGGATGAGGTGATGTTCTCGTGTTTCCTTGCCGTAACTGCTACTTTAATTTAAGCGACATACTTCGTTATGTGTTCAGCTGTTGAGACAATGGACGGAAATGATTCAGGAATTTTGTAGTTTTTTTGTTGGTAATCCTGTTATAGTTCCTGAAATATAGATATAAGAAATCTTTGATGTGAGAGGACTACATGCAACGAACATTTAATCTTTCATTAACCTAATATAGACCCAAGGCTGTATGGAATGCGGCAATGATGAAGTATTAATTTTGTCTTTTCCTTATCAATATAAAACATGTGGCTGTTCGTATAAGCAGTCAATATGAAAGCTTTAGTAGACATGAAAGCCTCTTGTGAACTCGATGTTGCAGGATGTCTACTTTGATGACGAATCTGCAGAAGTCGTCATATCTTCTTTGCGCCTTGGAGATGATCAGGAGAGGTAATGTGTTGGGACTAATCTCATGTGGTAGAAATCAATCTGTTGATTCTCATCATATGGTATTATGGTTTTATGCGGCGCCTTAACTAACAAAAATGTAACACGGTGTGTCTTTGTATCAGTTCTCTCTTCAAAAATTCAAACTGGTTTGCTTTCGATGATGAAAAAGTTGCGAATAAGCACTCATGGCTTCCCCTTCACTCAATACTGCTGATGATGGTGATGTCGTCATAGGTGAAGCGGCCGATGGCTTCAAGGACAGTGTAGCCTCTTCCCCGCTTATTGATATGGAAACAGAGGGTTCTTCCGAAAAATCACCAGCTTGGGTCGAATGGAGAGAGACATCTGAGTCCACTGCGCTTTCTTCAAACCCAGATGAAGCTAGCATGTTACCCAATGGCGAGGTTCAAAACGAGAAAGAGGATAATGTTGATTATACCGATAAAGAAGGTGCAAAGGACTCATCACCAGGCGCATGTGGCGATGAAGCCATAGAGAAGTCATCAGATGCAAGTGGCATGGAAACCACTGAGATCTCAGCAGGTGCGAGGGAGGCTGAGATAACCGAGAAGTTGAAAGATTTTAGTGCTGCTGAATCGGATGATGAGAGTGCTCAAAGCTCTGAACCTGCAATAGCTCAGGAGACGGACAAGAGCCAGCAGGAAGCAGATGATGTTGCAGCAAAAGCAGGTGACAAAGAAAGCGAAGAAGCTGTAAAGTAGGAACCAGAGAAGTGAAGAAAATCATCCAGGAAAACAGATAGAAAAGGAGCTTCCATAGAACTCGCCATTGGGTAACATGCCAACAAAAGGAAGGATATAAAGAATGTCAACAATATAACATATTTAGGCAAAAAAGAGCGTCAAAGTCTAAAGCGTATAATCCCAAGGATAACCATTGGTAGAAGGCATTGAGCTTCCATTGAACTGCCATTGGGTAACATGCCAACAAAAGGAGGGATATAAAGAATGTCAACAATATAACATATTTAGGCTAAAAAGAGTGTCAAAGTCTAAAGCGTATAATCCCAAGGATAACTGTTGGTAAAAGGCAAAACTTGTCTGTCAAACTCATACGCCAATTCATCGAGCCGTTAGTATACAATTAAGAGTATACTTTTTATAAAGTTATTTGTATTAGATTTACATATATTTAATTTTAATCGTTAGCAAAATGTGCCGTTGGCAGATGTGTGATGATTGTAAGAACAAAATTTTAAATAAATAAATTTGACTAGTCAAAAGTTAAGTATTGCATATTAAATGCTTCAAAATTTAATAATAACTATAATAAAATTTTCTAATAACTCCATTAGTCATTAAAATAAATTATTAATTATTAATATGTGATTATTTATTATTTTATGATAGTTACTTATTACCCGCTTGATGAGTTATCCATAATTAGTACCTTGAAATATGTTGAAATCCATAATTTGATCTATCTCTAACCCTTAATATATTGAAGAGATGTAATTTGATATATCTTGACACATATCCAAAATCTAAGTGAAAATATAATAGTGTATAAGCATATCATATTGCTATATTTATTTGTTCTTTCAGATAAAACTAAAGAATAACTTCTATCAAAAGAAGTTATTAATAATTAGATACAACAACATATACGTGAACTTCCATAAGGTTAACAGAAAGCAATCTTGAAGGGTGGTTTTCCCACTCCACATCTCTCGTAACAATCTTTTTTCGTTTGACAAGGTCCTTTGAATTCACAATCGCTTGATGAATAATCCATAATTCCTTGTTAAAATAATTGCCATTATATCTTAGTACGTATATTATAAAATAAAAATAATTGTACACAAATTTTTGGTATTTACACACTGTTTTATATATATATATATATATATATACATATATGAGGAAAAAAAACTTTTGTTGTATAAGAACATAAGAAAACTTACGAGCAGATTGAATATCAAGAATGAAAGATATGACGATGAGAAGAACAACAAAGTGCAATTTTGAAGACTTCATCGTCTGATAAAAGTTCTATAATATTTTTTTTTTTTTTGATTTTATGTTTATAGTTGTAGTTTAAGAATGATTGTTGTTTATATAGATGAACTTTTCAAAACCATTAAGATCTTAATAAACCTTTAAAACTTCTTACTATTTTCAAATACCATATAAAATTATAATTTGAGAT